GGTTGAGCTTTCCTCCCCGCCCCGGCCAGGGCTACGGCAGCCGGAGACCTCCAGGACCAGCCACCACCATGCTGAGACCACTCTCCGCACACCTGAAGGTACTGGCAGAGGGACAAAGCCACGCGGGTTCCGGGGCCGAGACCTCCAAGCCTACTCGAATTGGAGTCGAGCATCTTCCACCCAGATCCTCCAAATTCCAGTAGGCGGGGGTCACACCCACCACCTGGCCCCCTGGCGCCGTGTAATCCCATCAGCGGCCAAGACTCAGAGACTATAAAATCCAGATCCCGGAACCGCACGGCCACATTTGCGGCCGCGCAACATCTTATTATGACATCTTATTATCTCATTCCTACTTTGGACAAACTGGCAGGCTACCGAATGTCACCTGCCCACACGGCAGAGTCTGGCAAACTCCCCATGGCGTACCCAATATGCCAAACACCAGTAACAATGATGGGTCTCATTCTCCTAAAAAGCCTTGAATATAATCTCAGGGCTAGGATGAAGGAGACGTTACTGGGGCCTGCTCGAGGCAATCGACGAATAACAGGATGATTTGTGATTTGATTTGTGTGATTTTTTTCCAGGCTGTGATTTATCCAGAACCAGAAGCTACAGATTTTTTGTGTAGATGCGGGGCAGTGATCCACCCTTACCTCCATAGAGCACAATGCCATGGGCCATATTGTTGCACACGAGTGGACCTCCGGAGTCTCCCTGTGTACATGAGGAAGGACTGGACTCTTCTATTGCTGCCTTCTGGCCCCCTCAGAGGAGGAAACCCTTCAAGCCTCATGTGGTTAACAGTTGGGTAGGCTGGGGCTGAGCTGCTGGTTGCTGACTCTGGACTCTATCGGGGTCCCTCACAGCAGGGACTCTCTCTGTCCCTCATTTGGGGGCTCTGTCAACATGGTGACATGACCCATGTCTTTTTGGCCCGGGCAGTTGATAGCAATTGTTTGGCAGCATCTTGGGCAGATAGTACAGTGGGAAGGGCTTTTTGCCTTGAACATGGCCAACTTGAGTTTGATCACTGCTATCCCATATGGACTCTTGAGCCTGCTATGAGTGATCCCTGAGCACAGATCCAGGAGTAAGCCTTGAGCACAGCTGGGTGTCACTCAAAACCCAAAACTGCCAAAACAAAATCTTTGTGTGTAGCTTTAGACGCCAACACAGTGGAACCAGATCTGAGATACAAGTAAGCTGGAATCTCCAGCTTGTGCCCAAAGTGGGAGACTGAGACACCCCATGTGCTACTCCTATACCTGGGAGGCTGGGAGAGGCCTGACTTCACTGAAATACCCCAGACTGGAAAGTGAGGGGGTCCCCACAGCCTGCTGATAGGACCTTCGCTCCATTCCAATTATCCCTGCCCTCATGGTCACCTGGTCAGTGACTGAGACTCACCTTAAAGGTACTTCTTCCAGTACTGATGTTACCAACACACAACTGAGAGGAAGGTGAGTATGCCCTTGGAAATTGAACAATGCACAACTGAGGACTCTGCACGGTCAGATACATCTCCTGCAGTGTGCGCGTGAAGGCATTGTTCTCTAGGCTCAGCCTGCTCCAGCTGGCCACAGAGCACACATCTTCTGCCTTCACAATGTTCCCAGTCCTTGCCAGGGGGAGGAGTCCTACTTTTTGAATTCAGTGTTGCTGGTTTTGATAACTATGGTTAGAGGCGAGAGGGTCCAGTTCAGCTCACATCCCTCCACCCTCACTTGGGCTGCACATTGTCCTCTCCATGAGCCACTTGGATGCACAGGTGCTGGATGGAAGGAGGGGTGCAGGTGTCAGTGAGTGGGAGACAGGCAGACCCGCCCAGAGTTAGGGCTTCCTTACTTTCAGCAGCATGATGTTCTTGCAAAAGATTTTATAATTATACTGGTGGTGGATGAAGAAATTTCTTACAGGGGTCACTTGCCAGCAGCTCTCCTTCTCTCTGACATTGTGTGCACCCAGAATCACATCGATCTTTCTGTCCAGAGGGGTCAAGATGCAGGTGGGTGACAAGAGACAGAATGAGCTCAGCTGCAGGGCAGGGTGGTTCACTGAGGGCTGTTCCTTGGCTCTGGAAGAGCCGGGTATGATCTAGGATCCCTGCTGCTCATAGCTGAGGGAATTCTCTGCAGTGAATGATTTTGTGATAGTCACCAAGGATAAGAGGGCCCAGGATAAAGGTGAAATGGCATTGTGTACCACTAGGTTATAATACGCATACAGGCAGGGGAAGACTCCTACAGCCTCTGCTACAGCTGGTCCCTGTTTCCAGGTATACTTTTACATCTCTCCAACTCGAAGACTCTCCTGGCTCCTTGTTTCTGGAGTTGGGGAGGGTCTGGGCAATGCAGGGCTCAAAATCAGGGCCCCCAGGGGAGTGTGGCTGTGCCTCTCCTCATCTGCCAGGACAGTAAGCAGCCATCATCATCACATCACGTCAGATCAGGAACCCACACACTGGCAGGAATTTAGAGGATTCTTATTCTATATCTTCAGATATACCATGTAGGGTCGGGAGTGGGACCTGGTCTCATGTCCCCTGATGATCTTCCCTGAGGAATGTCAGCTGTGAGAGTGAACCCCCTCAGTGCGCCTGCTGACTTCACTGAAGGACCAGGGCTGTCTTGTGAACTGAGTTGGAGGACACACAAGTCTCCTAGGGACAACGGGGTCTGGAGGCTCCTGATGTTACTGTCCTGACTAGATTCTGAGAGCCCCATTCTGTGATGTCCAGCAGGAATCTATGAAAGGAGGGGGTCTGAGGTCATAGGTTGAGTGTGGTCCAGCCTGTTCCTAAGGTGACCACTGGTGGTGTTCTGTTAGTGAGGGTGTCTGGGGGAGTTGTGGGAATGACCCCAGTAGGCCAGTGAAGAGGGTTGCAGATGCCAACACAGTTAGGATTTGGCAAACAGAGAAGCTTGGAGCATCAAACAGTGTCTCATCCTTTACAAGGGGTCATAGTTTGGTGCTCAGAAGGAGAATAGAGTTGGGGAGAGGGATGGAGGGCCCTTGGGAGGGAGCCAGCTGGAGCTGATCTTTGGTGATAGCAATGGCACCCACTCAGGGTCTGCTCAGTCCCAAGCACTGCTGAAAGATCTCTTCCTGTTCTTTCTCCCCAACATTGAGCAGGAATCCCTCTGGTCTCCTCCATCTCCCAGGCACTGTCAGATAGAGGCAGAGGTGGTGCCAGCAGGGTAGCGCCCACTGACTTTTTTCAGATCTGCCTCTCACATTTATTGTGGTTCTTATTCCATATAAGGCTCAGGGAGTGACAGTTGGCTGGGATATGGGTTCAGAATGTTCCAGGGGACAGTGGAGAGGAAGGGTACAGAGGAGCAGATGAATGCTCAGTGAGTGGGGTCAGATTCAGAGGGTGGGAGGGTCACTCACTTGCATCTGCCCTAGGGGACAGTGCAAAGCTCAGCAGGAGAAAGAGCAGGAGCATCTTCCCAGATGGTGCCTAGGTGGGATCTACTAGGGCATCTTCTATGTTCTCTTTTGTATCTCTAGAGAGGCAAGACATGTGGTTTTCATTCGTGACCTGAGTCTCTTCCTGGTGCTTCATCCTAGATGTCTGTCTGTGAAAGTTTCCCCACTCCCTCCCTCTTCTTGATGCTGTTTCCTGGTAGTTGTGGGAGAATCATATATCAACCATATCAGTGTCCACAGGTGATGACTCAGAGAAGATAACTGTCCTACCCAGACAAAAACCCAAGTGTCAGTTGGAGAATGTGGGTGTAGCAGTGATAAGCAAAAGTGTTGGGTCCCAGAAGCATGAGACCCCAGTGATGGATCAGGTACACTGCCACCTTAGCCCTCTCTGTTCATCAGGACAAAGAATCTGGCAGATGTGAACCTCATTCCTTGTCTGTGCAATGCCCAAGCTCACAAAGACATCTCTTTCTTTGAGAGTTGATGGTTTGGTAGACAGGCATAAACCTTAGTAACTACATTGTGCAATGGATTGTCCATGGTGAAGGTTATAGCGGTCAGAAGAGAGCATGGTCCATGGACTCAAACCAGACAGCAACTCGTCATCCATTATGGCTTCCTTTATTTGGGATTTTGTTTTATTTTATTTTATTTTGGGCCATACCTGGCAGTGCACAGGGGTTACTTCTGCCTCTGACCTCAGGAATTACTCCTGGCGGTGCTCAGGAGACCATATGGGATGCTGGGAATTGAACCTGGGTTGGCCGCATGCAAGGCAAACGCCCTACCTGCTGTACTATCACTCCAGCCCCTCTCTGGGATTTTAACCAGAGTGTGAGGAGTTTGTTCCTACACAAGGAACTGACCTGGTAGATTTCATTATGATTTAGATGAGGATTAAGCTCCACCTCACTCCCCAGACTGGGCACCCTGGTGCCCTGTGTGAGGGAAAGCTTTTAAGGTGAATGAGTGAGCATGAAGAAGTGGTCCTGTGGAGGGTCAGAGCAAAGGAGGTAGAAAGAGGCCACATAAGGTGAGAGGATGATGTTGGCACTTGGTGTTTTTGTTTGTTTGTTTTTGGGCCATACCCAGTGAATCTCCGGGGTTACTTCTGGCTCTGCATTGAGGAATTACTCCTGAGCAGTGCTCAGATTACAAGTGCTCAGGCTTCCCTCTCCCCATACCTCCAGTACCTAAGATTGTTTCCATGAGTATGAAAAAGGTTGGGGGGTGATTGATTTTGATTTCAGCCCAGGCTGTGTCTTCTTGAGGTATAGGACCATGGGGTAAGCTTCCTCCACAACAGTGGGGTTGAAGGTTCCTCAGAGTCCAGGCCAGAGTCCAGGCTACCTGCAGGGGTGAGTCTGCCCCAGGCCGAGGATCAAGGAGAGAGAGGTGGAAGGACAGTGGCTGGGGACCACTTTGGCCTTCTGAGCACAGAGGTGTGCCTGAGAATGAGGGTTGCACATGAGCCCAGTTGATGTTACTAAAGACATTTATTGGGTGGGGGCCCCTCCTTAGGTGGTTCTGGAGGTCAGAGGAGGTTTTGCAAGCTGCGGTTACATCCTTCTCAGGGTGTTCCTTATCCAGGAGAGGAAACTGGAGATTCTCGTGTAGGCCCTGGGTGGTGATCCATTGCTCATTCCATAGGAGACAATTCTCTGGGCCAAGTTGTTGCAGACAAGAGGACCCCCGGAGTCTCCCTGTGGACATGAGGGAAGGACTGGGTGGTTTTCTACTGCCACCGGCCCCTTTCGGAGGAGGAAGCCTGGTGAGCTGCATTGGGCAGAGGCAAGATATGCCAGTGCCCAACTGCCAGGGGCTGAAACTGGATATCACTGAGGTCTTGCCTACACAGGAGGCTGCACCCTGTCCCTATTGGGTCTCTGTCTGCAGGGAGAGAGGGACAAAAGATGTATCATGTTTGGACTGGGAAAGGGTAGGTGACACTTTAGGGAGGGGGTGCATTTGCCACAATATTGTGAGTCCAACTCTGAGGGCCATGGGCCTTAACATGGACATCCCAGGCTGTGCCTGGAATGGGAATCCTCCCTGGGAGAACCCATGTGCTGTCACAATAGGCCTTGGTGGCTCCAAGAGGCCCTGCCTCTCCCCAGCTGACTCAGCCTTCTCCTCCAGAGAGAAACACCACAGATTGCCCTGTGAGGGGGCTTTACAGGTTTGTGATGTTGTATCAGTTCTCCCAAACATCCCTGTCCCATGGTCTGTTGGGTAATGGTAGCTACCTTAAAGGTACTCTTTCTCCTGTTGGGGTCCCCAGCGCACAGCTGGATGGCAGGGTTATAGTTACGTGGAAAATGGAATTTGCATTCTTTATCCATTTGTAGTGCGCGTGCAGCCCCGGACATCTAAGGGCATCACAGACCTGTTATTGCTCAATCTCGGGTGACTGAACGCCACTTGTCCCTCACTTGTACCGACACTACCTCCACTACCCAGCCGCCGCCACACTCCAGGACGCTTTTTGGACCCGCGCGGCCGCGAAGCAGACGTGTGACACATCATAAGACACTGAATACCCATCTTTCAGAATTGCCGTACCATATTTGATAGGGTTCAAATATAGTAACATCTACGAGGGCGATTAGAGTTCGCCCCAAAAGCCTCTATCCCTCTCGGAAAGACTGGCAAGCTACCGAGAGTATTCCGCCCGCATGGAAGAGCCTGGCAAGCTATCCATTGTGTATTTGATATGCCAAAACCAGTAATTACAACTGGTCTCATTCACCTGACTCTAAAGGCTTCACCGACATGGCAGCACTGAGAAGGATGAGAAAGGAGAGGCTGATAAAATCTCAAGGCCAAACTAGGCTGCCACAACGAAGGAAGACAAAAATGATCGTCTGTACTTTCAATACACATACGCTAGCATCAGATGCATCCATCGAGGACCTGATGGTACAAGCGTGAATGATCAAGTACGACATCATTGGTCTGACCGAGACAAGAAGGCATGAATCTCACCATGCCGTTTTCGACACTGGAGAAGAATTGTTCCTCGGAATATGCGATAAAAGAGGTGTTGGAGGCGTCGGTGTCCTTGTCAACACAAACTTGGCCATGAGCATTGATTCATTCGAATGCCTAACAACCCGAATCGGACGTTTACATTTGAATAGATGTGGCTCACTGCCTGCAGTTTCTATCTTCATTGTCTATGCACCAACATCTCATTATGATGAAAGAGAAATCGAGAAGTTCTACATGGAGCTGGAGAAATTCTATAAAGAAGACCACACCTTCTACAAGATCATTGTGGGTGATTTTAATGCCAAGGTAGGACCAAGAAGATCAGCTGAAGAACTTCACATCGGGACCCATGGCCTAGAATGGAACGAACAGGGTGAGAGACTGTCTGAGTTCATCATGTCGACCAAGACCATTCATGGTAACTCACAGTTCCAGAAGGCAGAATCTAAACGTTGGACATGGGAGTCTCCAGGTGTATGATTCCACAACGGAATAGACCACATCATATTCAATCGACGGTTTTGCCTGACCGATGTCGCTGTTGTCCCAAAATTCCGAAGGGATTGGACCACCGTCTCCTTTGTGCAAAATTCTATTTCACAGAGCAGGGAGAAAGGGCTGCAAAGTTTAAGAAGAGAACTCCCAGAATGACCACCAACTGGGAGCTCTTTGGCACTATTGTGGCAACATGGGAAGATGCCATTGTTGACAACATTGACAAGGAATACAATCGACTGGTACAGCACCTCCATGATTGTGCGAGGAATGCAAAGAGAGAGATAGCCACAAAAAAACGCCTGTCTTCGAAAACTCTTGAGCTTATTCGCCAATGTGGTTTGGCGCATGCCTCAGGCAACCACAAGCTAACATTCGAGCTCGCAAAGCAGTGCAGAGATGCGATCAAGGAAGACCTCAAAGAGAGAAGAGCAGAAGTGCTGGTAGATGCGGCAGAAGCGGGAAAAAGTATTCGTAATGCATGCCTGTCCTTCGCCAACTACAAGACCAAGATGACTGCCCTCCGACGTCCTAAAGGATCCATCACATCCTCCAGAACGGCAATGGAGAAGATTATCCATGACTTCTACTCAAATCTCTTTGATAGCCATGTCCACTTGCCGACATACCAAATTCCACAGGATGGATATGTCGTTCCCAACGTTCTCCCTTCTGAAATCCGACACATCATTTTGTCAGTAAAGAAACAAACAGCACCCGGCCCAGACAAGGTCAGACCTGAACACCTGAAGAACCTGCCGTCAGTACTCATCAATACACTGGCTCGGCTCTTCACACGCTACCTGTCTGAATGCAAGGTTCCGTCCCAATGGAAAACCAGCAGGACCGTACTACTGTTCAAGAAGGGAGACATCCATGACATTGGCAACTATCGCCCTATCTGCCTATTGTCTGTCATCTACAAGTTGTTCACTCAAGTCAAACTAAATAGGATTGGCAGAACAGTAGATGAAGGACAACCATGCGAGCAAGCCGGGTTCCGCAAAGGATTCAGCACCATCGACCATATCCACACAATAACCAAGCTCATTGAGGTTTCTCGGGAGTTCAAGATGCCGCTCTGTTTAACGTTCATTGATTTAAAGAAGGCCTTTGATTCTGTTGAGATGGAAGCGGTCATTGAAGCCCTAGCCAATCAGGGCATTCAAGCCCAATACATCAAGATCCTCCTTGAGCTGTATTGTGGATTCACTACCAGGATCTCACCATTCTACAAAGAAATAATCCTTGATGTCAAGAGAGGGGTTCGGCAGGGTGATACCATTTCACCGAAACTCTTCAGTGCCACCCTCGAGAACATCATGTGACGACTGGAATTGGAAGGAATGGGAGTGAAGATAGATGGTCGGCAACTACACCACCTCTGCTTTGCTGATGACATTGTTTTAATAACACCAAACATCAGCCAAGCAGCACAAATGCTGGCCGACTTTGACCGTGAATGTGGAAAGGTAGGACTACAGCTGAATCTTACGAAGACAATGTTTATGAGAAACAGCCTTGTTCCTGATGCCCCATTCGCTCTCAACAGAACGACCATCTCCGAATGCAACAGCTATGTGTACCTAGGTCGAGAAGTCAACATGACAAATGACCTGGCACCCGAGCTGCGCAGGAGGAAGAGAGCAGCTTGGAACACCTTCAAAAACGTCGAAGAAATAGCTAAGAGGACGAAGAACCTCCGGCTCCGGGCACATCTCTTTGATTCCACTGTTCTCCCTGCATTAACATATGCCTCAGAGACCTGGACCCTACGTAAACAGGATGAGAATGCTATTCGGGTCTCCCAAAGAGGAATTGAAAGAGCTTTGCTTGGAATATCACGTTTCACTCAAATGAGAGAAAGAATCCGGAGTTCCGACATCCATTGATGATCAAGAATCAGGGACGCTGTCTCATTTGCCAAGGTGTCAAAAATCAGATGGGCTGGTCACGTAATGAGATTTAAAGATGACCGCTGGACTAGAGCTGTTACGACTGGATCCCATGGGATATCAAAAGACCGCATGGCCGCCCACCTACCAGATGGTCAGACTTCTTCATCAAGATCATGAATGATTGGTTTGAGGCTCTTCATGTTCCCAGAGTGAACAGATGCCATTGGGCTACACTAGCATGTGACAGGGACAAATGGAGACGTTACTGGCGCCCGCTCGAGCAAATCGACGACTAACGAGAAGTTAAGTGATTAAGTTAAGTGGTCCATTTGTAAGGTCAGCTGCACCTCTTGAAGTGTGTCTGCCATGTCTGATCGTGGACTCAGCAGCCCCCAGCCAGCCACGCTGCACACCTGGCCTGGCTTCAGTTGGACTTGGGAGTCTGGCAGGCTGAGGAGTCCCACTTCTTTAGTCAAATTAGCATTTCTCTGTAGGTGTGGGGAGAGAGAGAGGATCCAGCTCACCTGGGCCAGGCCCCCACATGGACTGCCCGTTGTCCTCTCTCTGAGCCACCAGGATGGGCAGGTCTGACATGTGGACTCAGAACAGCCACTTGTCAGGGCTTCCTTACCTTCAGCAACATGATGTCGTTGGTGTAGATCCTAGAATCAAAGTTCGGGTGTAGGATGGCTCTGCTCACGGGGATCTTACATTTGCTTTTCTCCTGCTTTTGGATGTTGTGGGCTCCCAGGGTCACCTCAATAGTGCTGCACAGAGAGCCCAGGGCGAATAGTGCCAGGAGACAGAACCCAGCAGATCAGAAGGGCAGGGGCAGGAGGGGCAGCATCCTGAGTGAACGGGACCTCTACTTCTGATAGCTGAGGGGTTCTCATTGGAGCTAATGTTACCTGCAGTGGTGCTTCATGGTGATTTTCCAGGAAAACAGGTGACACTGCAATTTTCATACAGCTACTGTTGTGACTCTACCCCACAACCCAAAGGCAGAGAGGGAAACTCATTGTCCTTCTCCTCAGTTTTGCTCCAAGTTTCCCTGTCCCTTCCAACCCAGTTGCCTGTTCATTTCACCCCTCTGAAGTTTTCTATGGTTCTTGTGTCTAGAACTGCGATAAGGTTTTCAGAAACACGGCTCCCACCCAGGACCTTCAGGAGCGAGGAGCTGTTTCTCCTCACCTGCCATGACAGTGAGCAGCCGTCATCACCACATCCTCTCGTATCAGGAACCCACCACACGTTTGCACTTTTGGTGGATTCTCATCAAATGCCTCCAGATATGCCATGTAGGGCCTGGAGTGGGGCTCAGCCTCATGTCCCCCAATGATCTCCCCTGAGGAGTGTCAGCTGTGAGTGTGCACTTCCTCAGTCAGTACCCCTGCTGACTTCACTGAAGGCTCAGGGCTGCTGTGTGACCTGCTGTTGGTAGGCTTCGGGGGGCTTCAATGTTCCTATCCCCAAAGGGAAGAGCAGCAGCTCAGCCAGTTAGTCTATGTCCACAGGGAGTGGGAGGACACATGAGTCTCTTATGGACAGCGGGTCTGGGGACTCATGACATTGCTCTTCTGATGAGATTCCTAGACCCCCATTCTGTGACGTCCAGCAGTAATCTATTTATAGAGGGAGACTGATGTCAGGGCTTGAGTGTGGGCTGGTGCTATTCCCTAGGTAACCCACAGTGGGTGCTCTGTTAGTGGGGTCCTGTGAAAAATTCCCAGTGGGCCTGTGAGGAAGATTGCAGATGCCAATGCAGAAGGGATTCAGGAAGCAGAGAGGGTTGATGCCATCAGAAGGTGGTTCATCATTGACAAGGGGGTGCTGCTCACTGTCTGGCAGGAGAGCAGAGTTGGGGAGAGGGATTGAGGGACCTTGAGGGGGAGCAAGGCAGAATATCTCAGGGGCCAGCAATGGCACTACTCAGGGTCTGCTCTGTTTCAATGTTCCTGAAAGGGTCTACTTATCCCCACATGAGAGCAGTTGTTCTTTTCCCCTTCCAAAGTAAGCATTTCCTCTCCTCCCAGTACCCTGAGTTCTGTTCCACGGGCGGAAGTGGTGCCAGAAGGGAGTGTCTACAGACCCTTCTCAGATCAGCCTCCCACCATTTCTTGTGGCTCTTATCCAACATCAGGCTCAGGGGCCAGATATTGTCTGGGATGTGGCTTCAGAATGTACCAGTAGAGAGTGGATAGCCAGTACAGTGGGTCAGGTTCTCCCTTGGTGAGCTGCTCAGGCTCAAAGGGTGAGAGGGTCACTTATCTGTCTTTGCCCTGGAGGACAGCGCAAATCTCAGCAGGAGAAGGAGCAGGAGCATCTTTATAGGAAGGTTGCCTATTGGCTGGTTCTGAGGTTTCCTCTGTGGTCTCCTTTAATATCAAGAGAGGGAATTGCAGTTTTGCTTTGACCAGGAGACCTGAGTCTTCTCCTGTTCAGGTGCTTCATCCTAGATGTCTATCTGTGAAAGATTCCCTACTCCCTCCCTCTCCTTGATGTCATTTTCTGGTGATTGTGGGAAATCATGCAGTGAACATATCAGTGTCCACAGCTAATGACTTAGAGCACGCCACTGTTTCACCCAGAAACAGAAACCCAAAGGTGAGGTGAAGAGTATAGCATGGAACAATATCCCAAGAATGATGGGGTCTCAGTAGCCTGAGTCTCCAGAGATAGAACATTCATACCTTAATCTTCATCCTGCTAAGTCCACTAAGACAATATCTTGGCAAGTGTATATTTAACCCTTTCACTTTTTATTTTTTTTGGCAGTGCTCAGGGTTACTCTTGGCTCTGCACTCAGTAATTACTCCTGTCAGTGCTTGGGGAAACTATGGGATTGTGGATTGAACCCAGGTTGGCCATATGCAATACAAATGCCCTACCCATTGTTCTATCACTCCGGTCCTCCTATTTAATCCTTTTGCTGTGCTTTGTCTAAACATATTGAGGATGTCTTCTTAAATTTGAAAGTTGATTGTGTGGTGGATGAGGCAGAAAGTTCATTGACCAGAGTATATAATGGAAGGACCATGGTGAGGTTTGTAGCAGACATGAGCAAACACGGCTCCATGGACTCAACCCAGACAACAATTCATTTATCATCATGACTTCTTTTTCTGAGTACTTTATCAACTCTACTAAAGTATAAATGAAGACAGTGACAGAAATGATTGCACTGGGCTGTTAGTGGGGTGGCAGCAGTGGGGTGTGGGTGTAGCCGCTGGGGCTTTGGCAGGGAACTTGGTTTGCCTGCCTCATAGGGAAACCAGAATTTTCAGCCAGGTGACCAGGGTACCCATGAGTTTTAGCTGCTTGGATTGCCTGTCCTGAGAGATTTATTTCTTGAATTTGAACAATAAGTCCAGTGGGTGTGTTGACATGGGGGTGAATGTGAGATTCTCTATTCTTAATGAAATTCCCCTGTTTCTGTTCATAAACCAGAGGCAAAAGTGGAAAAAAGCAAAAAAATCAGAACCTTGCAGTCAGAACTTTAAAGTCTACCCATGAAAATTCAGGTATTGTAGTAAAAAAGTATCAATAGCATTTTATTAATGGAACTGTGACAGGACATCGTATTGTGATACCAATAACTTTGTATCTTTTCTGTATTCTTTATATGCAATACATTGTCAGCACCTTCATTTTGTGATGTCATCTCTAGACATTTTTGGGACCAGGTAAAGAGGTCAAGAGGTTTAGTTCATGCTTAGCTTGTGTGAGGCCCTGAATTTAACCCCGGCATGATTTAAAAATTTTTTAAAAATTTTATTCTCATAAGGTTGTTCACAGTAATTGATTACATTCAGTATTTCAACACCAATCCTATCACCATTACACCTTCCCATTATCATTATTTAATTTTTTACCACCACCACTCATCTGCCCTACAGGTAGATATTAAATAATTTATTCTGTATTGCTTGTTATGAATAGTATAAGATATCATGCGGCCGCTTGGTGGCCTCCAGTTCTCCTGGAATTCTAAAAATTTAAATAATTGTGGCTGAGAGACATCTTTGCAGCGAGCTGCTCTCTTCTGAGATTCATTTGTGAGTCTCTGGATTATGGCCATTCAGGTGCTTAAATGGCGCCTGGAGGCAGTTCATCTGCTTGACTGCCAGGACACCGGGAGAGTGCGAAGATGGGAAGAGATGGCCCATCCCCGACTCTGTGAAGCCTGGGGTTTTCAGTCACTAGTCCAGCATACCTGGATTTTTCAGTGGATTCATTCTTATGTGTGGGAGACTCAGGATGAGCCTGCGAAGATCGGCCTTGAGCACAGTGGAGATTGGGTTCTGAAGGTTTGCAGCTGCTGGGGTTCATTTGGGGCAGGTGGAAGGACAATACCTGCTTTCTTTTGAGGTACCCTGGTGAAATCAGCCTGGCACATGGTTTGGAGACATCTCTGCAGCATGCTGTTCTTTTCCGAGAATTCACTTGTGAGTCTCTGGATCATGCCTTGGCACTATTTTATCCCTTTTCTCGCCTTATCCCAGAATTACTGGGTGAAGCTTAGAGCACTCTGCCATTTTCCTCATATTGCAGGATAGAGTATTACTGGAAATTATCTCTGGTCTCCCAATACTACTATATGTGCTCTATAAATGACAATAACAACAACAACAACCCTAAAATTTTGATGCTCAATTTTCTGTTATTGGACTGTGCCTAATTCATCTTGGCACTGAACAGCGTCCCAGTTCCCACCCCAACTCCTCACCACCTAAGTGTCACTCGCTATAAGTTTATCTGTGAAACTACAAACATCTTAAATACTTTGACAGAAAAATCTACTTACAAAATGATACTCGATAACTTTTGAGGAAATCATGGGCACCACATTAAAAGATTTAGTTGTGTTCTTTGAATTTGTCCCTCTTTTCCAGAAATTTCATCTTTATTTCAGTCTCACAGGGCCAGGAGATCAGGATTTTTTCCTTGAGCCCATAGAATATCTAACAGACAGAGAAGGAAAAACTTGTCCCAAGAATGTGTTCATTTTTGTTTAGTTATGCGACTCAGTTGCTTTTTTCTGGACCTCATTGTATAAAAGTGGATCTGGCTACAGCAGAGGCTTTATATAGTAATATTTCTCAAGTTGAATATATGCTTGTCAAGGTAGGATTTTGAAATTATAGGTATGCTTATACCTATGAATGTACACATATTTTTGTAGCTACCAGTATCTTAATTACCTTGCTAGATATATAGATTTTATACATGATTACACACATAACAATGTTTGTGTGCAGACACTTGTGTAAGCTTATGTAATTCTTTTATCTATAGTATGATTAATACACATGTATATTCATACATATATTAATTTCTATATAACATACTTTTACTCCCTATTTCCTCTGTTTTAGTATGATTTAAAAATTTAAAATATATTATTATTGAATCACTGAGAGATAGTTCATTACAAAGATATTAAGAATTTGATTTCAGTCATACAGTGTCACAAGACCCATCCTTCCACTAATGTGCATTTACCAGCACCAGTGTCCTCAGTTTCCCTCCTGTCACCTCCGTTGCCCCAGCCTGCCTCTATGGCAGGCATTCTTTTCTCTCTCTTTCACTTTAATTCCCTCTCTCACTCTTTCCTTTTGGGCATTGTGGTCTGCAACAGATACTGAAAGGTGAGTCAGTATATCCCTTTACCTACTTTTAACACTCAATACTTGCACAGCATGATCATTTTCGGCTATTATTGTCGTCTTGGTCCCTTCTTTATATTACCTACCTTCCATCCCACACACACTTGTGGTTGATTCCAACGAGTGACCAGTCCTTCTAGAGCTCCTGGACCCTATTTTCACTGACTGTTGGTATGTCTTTAAAATATATATGTACATATATACATACATATATATTATGTACCACAAATTAATGCAGTCATTCTATATTTGTCCTTTTCTTTCTGACTCATTTCACTAAGCATGATACTCTCTAAGTCCATCCATTTATAGGCAAATTTCATGACTTAATTTTTCCTTATAGCTGAGTGGTATTCCATTGTGTAGGTGCGCTATAGTTTCTTTATCCATTAGTCTGTTCTCAGGTACTCAAGTTGTTTTCAGATTCTGGATATTGTGAATAGTGCTGCAATGAACATAGGGGTACAGATGGTGTTTCTATTGTGTGGTTTTGAGATTCCAGGATATATTCCTAGAAGTGGTATTGCTGGGTCAAATGGGAGCTCAATTTCTAATTTTTTGAGGAATGTCAATATTGTTTTCTAGAAAGGTTGAACCAGTCAGCGTTCCCACCAACAATGAAGGAGAGTCCCTTTCTCATCACATCCACACCAGTACTGTTTGTAATTATTCTTTTGGA